CAATAGCTAGGCTTTATTGAATGGCAGGCAGTATTAATAGCTATTTCATGAATATCCACTTGTTAGGTACTTTACTAAGCATTTTGCATGCATTGCCTCTAATCCTCAAAACACTGCAAGTTAGGTATTATCCCTGTTTTATAGATCAGGAAATTAAAGCGTGAAGTGGTTAAATAATCTGTCCAAGATCACATAGCTAGGGAGTAGCAAAGTCAGAAGTTAAATTGAGAACACTGATTTCAAAGCTGTGCTCTTCCTGTGTTCTGCTCTCTTAGAAAATATAAGAACAGAAACTGCATGTCAATTCCTCCAACTGAATATTTTGACTCTGGTCTGAATTGCTGAGTTTTTAATGTCAGAAAAATTAGGTAGGCTATCCCCAAAACGTCTTAGTTTCCCTTAAGACTATGAATCTTGATTCTAAAACTGTATTGAATCTTTATATTCTTATACCCCATCTTGTTCCGTATTTTCTCCTCTATAAAATAGTGCTGTAGTAGATTGAAGCTAAAGAAAATTGACTTCACCACTTAAGAAACCTGAATAATTTACTTAATCCTTCAGTATTATTTTCTCTAAAATGGTAATGAGAATTCCTGTTTATCACTAAGGGTGGTTGTAAGGATTAAAGGAGTTACATATAAAGCTAATAGAGGGGCACATAGATAAATTCTTGATAATAATTATGATTTATCTTAAATGTACTTTTTAAAGTTATCCCATAATTCTAATCATTTGGGAGATGGTGAAAAAGTCTTGGTTAGTTTTAATCCTACCTTTTATAACCAGGTAAGCAGTGCCTAGTACATGTAAAACACTGTGGTAAGCCCCATGACATACAGCAGTTTTGTAGACAGTTTGTACCTTTCTTCTTGTATCTTTCTTTAGTCTTTCAAACTGGCTTTAGCTTTTGTTAGTTTGTTTATGCTTTATATAAAGCATCTTCTCAAATCCCTTGGCCATTTAATTGCCCTTTTTCTGTTCTGTCTCCCATGACTTTGTGCCTGTCCTAAGATGTGGCAAATAAAACTGCGCTAAGTTTTTGGAAGGCTGCGTAATTTTGCACAAAAGCCAACTAATAGTTTATGTTTAATTTTCAGTACTGTTAATAATGTTTATTGGCCTAAGTTGACACAGCAGCTCATTGGGTTGGTGCCTTGAGGAAATAGTCTGCTGCATCTCCTAACACTGGATCCCCTCTAAAGCTTCAGCTTATTGATCTGTAAGATGGGGATAATAACTCCCTTATCTACCTCAAAAGATAACCATGGTGCAAACACTTAAAGATCATATTAGTTGAAGTCCTTTACAGACTCTAAACTGTTTTATAAATATAAGGGATAGTTATTTCTTGTTAGTTTGTAACTGATAGCTCAGATCTGATCATCTTCTAAATACAATTTAAATATTTTACCAAAAGCTTTCCATACTAAAAATAATCCTGCCTATAGGTATAGCTATAAAAAAATTTCTATTTAAATAGGTATAGCAAAAATTTCTATAGTATAAATTATATCCCATGGTTCCTTTTTATTCCAAACACTCTTAGAGGACTATATTACATCACTTGATTATTACTTCCTTTCTCCTACTAAATTATATGTAATTGAGTATCAGGTTTTTTTTTTTGAGGAAGATTAGCCCTGAGCTAACATCTACCGCTGATCCTGCTCTTTTTGCTGAGGAAGACTGGCCCTGAGCTAACATCTGTGCCCATCTTCCTCTACTTTATATGTGGGATGCCTGCCACAGCATGGCTTGACAAGCGGTGCATATGTTTGTACCTGGGATCCAAACCGGCAAACCCCAGGCCACTGAAGGGGAATGTACGAACTTAACTGCTGTGCCACCGGGCTGGCCCCTCAAATGATTTTTACCCTTTATTTTATCCTAGCTGTTTTCTCAATATAAAATACCTAGTTTAGAATCTCATTTAAAACAATTGTTTTTGGTTTTGAACATACTTTTGTTGTTTTTGTAAAACTAATATGTAGTCATTGTATCCATCATTAAGAATTTTTTTAAACAAAGATAAGAGTAAGTTACTTGTAATTCCACTGCTCTGCTAGTGCTCTGCTAACCACTCTCAACATTTTAGTGAATATCCTTCTAAACATCTCTATGCGTACATGCACATGTAGATAGGTATTCAATTTTACATAGTAATTGCAATCATAGAAAACATCTTTTTCTGTAATCTACTTTTTTCACTCAGCTTTTTTTCACTCAATGTCTACTATGCGTTGGACATTTTTCCTGTCAATAAATGGAAGTCTATTATTAATGGCTGCATCATTTTCCCTTATCATGATGTACATAGTCTGTCCTTTGTTGTTTGATATTTAGGTTTCTTCCAACTTAGGGCTCCTACAAACATTGATAGGACATCATGGTGCATACATCTTTTATTAATACTTGTGAAATTTTTCTTTGCAGAATAAACTCTTAGACCTGGGATTGATGGACTAAAGGATATACACATTTTACATTTTGATACATATTGCTAAATTGCCCTATAGAAAGTTGAACCGTGTTCTAACTTAGTATCAGATTCCCATTGTCATAGTTGGGAAACCTCATGGCAGTCTGCCAATCCATCAGCATACTAATAACAGTGCTTTTTTTTTTTTTTTTTGAGGAAGACCAGCCCTAAGCTAACATGTGCCGCCAGTCCTCCTTTTTTTGCTGAGGAAGGCTGGCCCTAAGTTAACATCCATGCCCATCTTCCTCCACTTTATATGTGGGACGCCTGCCACAGCATGGCTTGCCAAGCGGTGCCATATCCACACCTGGGATCCCAACCGGCGAACCCCAGGCGGCCAAAGCGGAATGTGTACATTTAACTGCTGCACCACGGGCCCGGCCCCCAGCAGTTTTCTTATTTTGAATAGTATCATAATTTAATTTATGGATTGCTTCAGAACTCTTGGGTAAATGCCTTCTAGTCTCAATGACATATGTACTTAGTCAGTTACGTCTGCTATCTAGAGTACTAATGACTTGGGCAATGCAATTGTAGATGCGGTTGAAATAAGTTGAGGAATTATTGGACTGGAATTCAGTGTTCTTCCACCATACTGCTTCCCAGGTCTGCCACCTCTGATATGCTTCTAAGGATAGTTTTTAAGTGGGAATTTCCTTAACGGTGTCTTCTATAAAGAGCAAGACTGTTTTTTCAAGTATTTTATTTTTCGGAAGATCAGTACTATCTTCACCCCCTTGAACTGATTTAAGATTGGTGACTTTGTTAATATGACATCAGCCACTAGCTATGTAGTCTCGGGAAAACTACTTAACTGCTCCAGACATCAGTATTCTATTTATAATGAAAAAGCCCAGTGATTTCTGATACCCATTCTTTTTCAATATTTTTTTCCCTGTGATAATTCATTGCTTGCATTAATTTCCTTTCTTGGTTTAAATAATGTCTTGTTAACTTTAGAGCCTCTTGTAAATTTCCCTCAAAATATGACCTCCTTCATCTTGGAAGACATTTTTGTTCATGTTGGTGCAATTTTTTAAAAGATGCTTTTCTACTATTATAGCTTGCCTCTTCTTTCATTAGTGTTCATTTTCTTGGGCCTCCAATTATGTATATGTGCTCCTGCTTGGTTATTTATTTTGAGTAGTTCCGTATGCTTTTCCAAAATTTGTTGGTAATATTTTAGAGAAAGAAACAATTTTATCTTCTGACATAATCCTTTACTTATATAGGATACTTTTAATGCTTTCATTTTACTTAATTAGATCCTCAGAACAACCTTATGACATTAGATACAATTGTCCCCATTTTACAGATGTGGAAACTGAGGCTTAAACTAAGTGATAGGCCCAAAGTCACTCAGCTTATAAATGTATAGCTGTGTCGGTGTGTTCTAACTTCAGGGCTTTATCTGCTAAGCCACAGGTGCCTCTATATGTGAAGGTTAATATTCATACATAGATTTTTTTTCTGGTAACATTTATCTATATATGTGTCTATACTCATCATAAATAGTAGTCATCAAATTTAAAGAAAAGGGGCTATCAGGTGAGATTTTGGAAAAGGGAAACAGAACCATGCACATCAACTGATTTATAGGATATAATGTGACAGCCGTAAATAGATGCTTTCCTTAATTCCTAACAAGGCAATACTTTTTTTTTTTTGAGGAAGATTAGCCCTGAGCTAACTACTGCCAATCCTCCTCTTTTTGCTGAGGAAGACTTGCCCTGAGCTAACATCCATGCCCATCTTCCTCTACTTTATATGTGGGACACCTACCACAGCATGGCTTTTGCCATGTGGTGCTATGTCCAAACCTGGGATCTGAACCGGCGAAGCCCGGGCCCCCGAGAAGCGGAATGTACGAACTTAACCGCTTCGTCATCAGGCCAGCCCCCAAGGCAATATTTTTTAACTCATGAGTTTCTTTAAAATGTGTTGATTTTAAAAGTTTGGTTGTATTTGGAAATTTTTATACTTAGTTCTTTTTCTTCTACAAAGGCTTCACCATTTCTTTGGGTATTTTGGTATTAGATCAGGAAAAAGACTACTCCTGGTGGTAAACTGACGCAAAAGTCTTTTTCAGCTACTTTAAAAAATCTAATAAAGGCCCCTGTTTTCAAGAATCTTCTAAATCTTATTTACTCCTCTTAAAAGAAGCTAGAATCTTTGGGAACCAAGCTCATTAGTAGAATGTGAGAGTTGGAAGTTATCACTTAGCAAAAAATTCCTCATTTTACATATAAATAAACAGGATAAAGAGTAATTTGCTTAAAACCAGAGTCAAGAATCACAAGATTTTATTTTACTTTTTTGGTGAGGAAGATTGACCCTGAGCTAACATCTGTGGCAGCCATAGCATGGCTAGAGGAGCGCCATGTATGTCCCTACCGGGATCGAACCTGGGCCGCAGAAGCACAGCGCATGAAAGTAACCGCTACAGCACCTGCCGGCCCAAAGAATCACATGATTTTAAATAATCAGTATGCATTCTGCTTCTGTGGGAGACAAGCTCTTCCTGCCGAATCTTCTCCCTCAGCCCTAGGTTAATTCTTTTGCATTTAAATATGGCTCTTAGAGTTTTAGTAGTTTAGAATGTGTGAAATGAAAGGGAAACTAATTGGGCCTTCTGGAATTTAGTTTCCAGTCTTCCTAAGACTTTTAGGTGATACCCCATAACTTTGTTAACTTTTCCTTATTTTACATGGACTTGTAAGTCAACAAATATTTCTATACTGCCTATCGTGTACAAGGCATGGGGGTTGTATTTTCTCAGTGAAATGAGAGAGGAGTGCGTCCCTCAAATATTTGACTGATAAACTAGTACATCTTATAGAATGTGTGACAATAGGGAAAGTTCTCTCTTGGTTGGACAAATGGATGGGTTTATTATTTGTTTCAGCAGGCTTTAACTCCTCCATCGGCCACAGTTTTTCGCATTCCCTGGAGGAGGGGCTAAGACGCGCCCGAAAGCTTTCTTTTCTGATGTGTATTTTCCAATCACGTCAGGCCTTCCTGAAGGCTATCCTTGAACAGCCTTCCTACCTGAGTGACGGCGAAGGCCTGGCAGGTTTCCAAGTTTTCGCTTCAGTCTGAAGCTTCCTGGAAGCACCGCGGGTGCGACCACAAAGCCAGGTCACAATCGCTCCCCACGACACCTCCGCAGGTTCCCCCCCAGCCGCTGCAGCGCGCCTGCGTGTCGGAGCCCCTTTGTTGCTCGGACGCCCGGGTCCGGATGCGCCTGCGTAGTGGGCCGGCGCGGACAAGTGCGCTGTGCCGCTGGCACCGGCGGGGGGCGAGCAGACATCCAGCCGCCGCCGCCGCCGCAGCCGTTGGGACCGCCGCAGCGGAGTTCGGAGGGCCCGGAGGTGGGAGACTTCCCACACGGGGGCTGAGATGTCGTCCACCGCGGCCTTTTACCTTCTCTCCACCCTCGGAGGGTACTTGGTGACCTCGTTTTTGCTGCTCAAATATCCAACCTTGCTGCACCAGAGAAAGAAACAGCGATTCCTCAGTAAACACATCTCTCACCGCGGAGGTGAGAGGGGTCCCCAGAACCGGATGGCGGAGGTGGGGGAGGCATTTTTCTGCGACTAGAGCTCAGGGTCATTTGGAGCTTTGCAAAAGGCAGACGGGTGGAAATACGTGAGAGTTTGAGGAAGGATGGGGGTGTGTAAATCGTGGGCTCCCCAAGAGGGGAAGGTGATGTGAAGGGGAGGTCTCCTGAGGGAAGGAAGAGAATCTTGAGACAGAGCCAAGTTGCGGATCTCTGGAGTGCAGCGGTGTCGGTGGTTCTCTGAAGGAGGAAGGACCAGAGTGAGAAGAAAGGGTAGATGGAGCGTTTCTCGGCGGGTGGAAGGATGATCGCAAGGTCCCTTCCTAGCAGCGAGGCACAATGGGGGAGCGCCGGGCAGAGCCGGAGGTACCCCGCCGCGGGTCACCGGGGACAGACTGCTCCGAGCGAGCCGGTGGCTGCGCTTGTGAGAGCACCTGGGCGACGAGTTCCAGGGTTGAGGAACTGCGTGAACCTGGAGCGTGCTGCCCCCAGAGTGTCTGCAGTCTCTATGGGCCGCCCCCGAGCACTGATAATTGACAGGAGAGGGAAACCGAGTCCTTAAGCCGGAGACACTTACCAAGGTCACAGTTAGAGCTTGGGCTGGACTGGGATAGAAATTGGAGCGTCCTGGTTCCCAAGGCTGCAAACCTTGCACCTGTTTTTTTTTAGCCACACCCTGCACCCCAGCAATGACGTGTGGATTTCCAAAAGACAAAAAGGTGATTTAGTTTACGACAGGACAGTATTGTTTAAAGAACACAAAGAAGTTTCTTTTGGAAAAGTGTCTTGGTAAAAGGAACATAGATAGCCCACCCTCTAATTTCTCAGACAGCAGGCCAAATCTTTGCCCCTTCGTTATTGTGTAATAATCTGTCTTTATTTCGTTTCAATCATAACCTATAAATGGTGTCAAATTGGATTATTTTAATCAATTTTTACTGTTCTTGCAATGAATGTTAAACTAGTTTAAAATTTCTTGGAATTTACAGTCTAATATTTAAAATGGTAAATTTCTGGGAGTTTACAGTCTAAAACTTGATTTAGTACCATAACTCCTTTTCTAACAAGCATTGGCCAGGAATAAGGTTTTAAATATCACAGAAATATGTTAGGGTTCTTCTGTATAATCTTATCGGTTAAACATAGTTCTAAAGGGTGACTTCAGTAGTTACGCTAGTCTCCCACTCATGAAAAGCATCAAAGGTTTTAAGGGGTCACCAGCTAAATGCCATGTTATTGCTTATTTGGTTTATCTGTGTTTTAAACTGTAGATAACATATGACTACTAATCTGCCTTCGACCATTAGAGCCAAAAACCAACTTTTAGTGTTTACGTTGTTGCTGTAGAAACAATTTTCAAAGGGAGTAATCCTATTTTGGGGATAGGTAGTACACACTGTACTTATGTTTACTAATTTTAAAAAAAGAAAGTGTGCTTACTAAAAACCCAAAACAAAACAAAAGTAAATCCTCTAAAAAGCTATCTAAACTGTCACTATGGATAATCTAAATTTTATTTTAGAAGAAATACATGTGAATCTTTGAAATTTTGTAACGCTCTACAGGTGAAAAACCAGCAGTCCATAGAGGTTAAAACATGGGTGCTAGATCAGCGCAACGAGTATCAAAGCCACGATAAGATAGATCTACAATTCTCATTTACTTTTGGAAATAACCTTAAAAATATTTTCTCCCTACGTATTAAGTCATTTCAGTTGTTTCAATTTCACCCCTGTAAAAATTTCCCTGCATTATTTGTAAATATGGCATCAGTATTTGTGTATTCAAAGATGCAACAACCTTTCATGAGAATCTAGTTAAACAGTATCTGCAGACTCAAAATCTCTTCACTCTACTTGTCTGATGGTCTTAGAGAACTGCAGTAAGTTCCTGTGTGTTAGTGCTTAATACACTTTTGTTGAGTGTGTGCACCAAATAATACAGTTGAATCCAGAGGGGAGAGGAGATATTTACTAAAAAACACTTTGTAACTCAAGATACTAAGTTTCTGGAAAATGATAGACTGGGAAGGAGTCAGCTTCTTGCTTGCTTTTCAATCACTGGTCTTTCTGGGCATATCACTAACATTTGGGCTAATTCTCTATTGCTCTAACTGCAAATACCTGATATTTCACGTAAACCAGGTGTATGACCATTCCAAGATTGAAACATTGATCATTATATGTGTATAAAGTATATACACCTGAGTTGTTATAACTTGAAACTCTTGTTAATGTTTACTGTATGTGTCTGCTCTAAAAGCATTATCTCCTGAGTCAGATTCTGGACCTACCACTAGCTAGCCTTGGGAATAAGCCTTAGTTTCCTTACCTATAAATGGGGGCTGTTTGCCTTGCTTCTGCTTTGGGTTGTTATGAGGATTAGGGATATAAAAAGTACTTTGAAAACTGTAAAATTGTGGAGAAATATAAGCATGAGTACAGGGGATGCACATTTGTATTTTGCAATTGAACTTTGAGTTGATTGAGAAGGAATGAGATCACTCTATACTTATTTTTCAGAGTTTTAATGAACACTTTCACCTTTTACTACAATTGATTGTCCTTGAGAGTAGAAAATACTCTAATGTTTCAAAAATTAGATACCATAGGCTTGCTTTGTTATCTCTTTAAAGCATATGTTGTACTGCATTATGTAGTAATAGGATATGTTAATCCATCTGCTTCCCTTGCCAGACTGTAAGTTCCTCAAGGGCGGGTTTCAGATTTTATTAATGCTTGTGTCTCTAGCCTCGAGTACAGATTTTAACATATAGTTAAAGTAATAGCTTATTGTCCACTAATTCTCTGCTGCACGCTAGATACTTTCCATGTGTTTCCTAAATTTATTTGGCTCAGAAAAGGCTTTTTTAACTACACTGTATTGACGAAACACCAATAGGACCAAAGATAAATCCTTTGGATTAAATGGAGAGCAAGCAATATTCTCAAAGGCCATTTTCTTAATTTCTGCATGAAATACGGAATATTACCTTATTAGCAGTGGAGTCACTTATCATTTATTTAATAGTACTTTCCTGCTTAATAAAGCCACCTAAAATGTACTTATTTTCAGCAATGGAGACATATACATATATATATATATATATATATATATATATATATACACACACACACAAACATATATGTATATACATTAAACTGTATACAAATTTAGAAAAATTAAATGCTGTTATAGAAAAATTATTGAAATGATGACAAGATACAAAATAAGAACCATTTGTCATTGAAGAGAGCATGCAGTTGGTGGTTAGTTGGTGCATTCTTCTGTGCTGTTGATGTGTTTAATTTTTTTCTTATATCTGCAAGTATAAATTTCACTAGTTTTTTCCCCCTTGAAATATAGAAACAATTCTGCAGTGTTCCTGGGAACCCATATTGAGAAATGCTCTTTTGTAGAGCTTTTTATGCTCTTACATAAATCATATATACTCTTTCGAAGGCACACAATAATTGTTGAATGAACAAATGAATTTAGAAATGAAGAAGAAACTTACCTTGTTGCTTGAGTTACTGAATAACTCCATTTTGAGTTGATAGGATCATATCTTCAAATGCATTAAGGTATGTTTTATTTGCACTAAATATATCATGTATGCAAAGATGTTAATAGCGATGGTTAAAACATAAGTGTAAAACAAGTCTACAATGTTTGTTGAATGTTTATTGGTGTATAAAACATTTGGGAGGTAAAAGGAAAACTGAAGAGATATTTCTTTCCTTCACAGCATTTAAATCTAATTAAAAATTCAAAAGAGAATGTTTCCTTTACTTTCCTATCCTATCAGAGATTGACCAGTCACAAAGTAATTATGAAGCACTATATAAAAGAGGAAAAGTTAGTATAGAATGAAAACTTGGGAAATTTATTGAGAAGCTATAAATAAAGTGAATTGGGAATTTTCAGAGAAAGTTTTCTCAAAGAAATGAAAAATGTGACCTGATGAAAAGGGAGGCAGGATGACGTAAGCAGAGGAATTATGAGCAAATTATATTAGGACAGCGTGTAAAATCCATTATTCTCTTCCATATTTCATAATTAACTTCATAACTAATTAAAAATTAAACTTTTGTTTACATGTAGAATGGTTATTTGCAAAGCCAGGCATTGTTTAAGTTGCTTACTGAGGGAAAAAAGCTAATGGCAAGCATGCTTCTATGAATGATGTGATGATAGTTGGAAAGAAAAGGAGTTCAAACCATTTCATGAGAGAAGAGCCACCACCAAATAATTCCTTGGAGAAGAATGGCGTACTTCTTAATTAGTCCCTTGGTTACTCTCCAGGCTTTCACCATATGCATCTAACAAATAATTTGTGGGTATTATCATCATGGAATTTATCTTCAAGCTTTACAAACAAATGCTGTAGAAGAATATGAGAGTAAGGACCAACATGAACAATCTACCTGTAAAACTGAATTCTAAGTGTTATATAAATAGAAGCATAGAAGCTGCAGCATAGTTAGTGGTAAAAAGGATGGGACCTGCGATGATACTGCTTGTGCTTGAATCCCGGTTCCCTTTGTTGGTTATGTGACCTTACCCAGTTTTTTTTCCTAGAGATAGTAATACCATGGTTGTGGGGATTTTAAGGAAATAATATATAAAGTGCTAAGCACAGTATCTAGCTTCTGTTTATTAATATCTTGACCACCTTTTCAATATTTTATTTAGTACTGGCTATATAATTTCATAAACTTATAAAATAGATCAAAGATCTTAAGTAATAATATTTGCATGCTTAAACTGTTAGGCTTAAATGGATTACCATTAAAATTAATATGGACACTCCCTGCCCATCTCCCAGAGGACTTGGCCTGCACCCACAAGAGGTCCTAGCACGGGCTGAGAGTGTGGATCCGAGCGCTCCCTGCCCATCTCCCAGAGGATTTGTCCTGCATCCCCAGGAGCAGTTTCAGCAGGGGCGCAGAGTGCACATCGGCATACCACCTGCCTGTCTC